TATTTAAATCTTATGCCGGAGCCGGAATTTTGTCAGTGTTACTGCTAATGATTGAATCCGTCTCGAGAAATTATCGGTATTTGTTAACAATTATGTATTATTTTAAATGCAAATAACATAATGCAAATAAAACTCAAACAAATTTATACGTTGAGTATTGTTTTAAAATCTGTGATATTTTCAAAATTTCCTCGCCAATAGTCAAGCCTTCATTATCTGATCAAGAATTTGGAGTCATGAACTTACGTACCTAAAGCTATGTTACCATTTGACCTATTTAGACGCTGGGATTTCACATTCGCCTAACTTACAAATAGGATAACTGTAGGTACCGACAATTTTGTTCTACATCTTCTAATTAACAAAAGCTACCAAAAATTAACTTGTTATAATTTTATAATATTATAAAGTAATTTTTTTAAATTTTTTATTTTGAATTTAGAAAAACGGGTTGCAGAGAAAAAATTACGAATCTTTTTACCCTAATAGGGTAGATACAAATCTCGTTTTTCATCAAATCCCCTGCCTCTGTCCAGATTTTTGCGAGCTTCTTCCCCAGGGTTAGGGGAGAAGTGAATTTTACAAATATACCGACGCACCCGCACAAAATTTAACTTTACAAATGCAGAAACCTATAAAAATTCAATTTTTTATGTCTCTCGAACTTCCGGTTTTGATTAGTTTTACACAAGAGTGCGTCAGTCTTGGTAGAATCTGGGCAAGCTTTGTTATTTACATATTTAGATACATGAAAATTTAAGTATATTCAAGTACAGGACAAATAAAATCAGTAAAATTCCACTCACTCTAAACAATAGTTGCGCCAAATTTACATAAAAGGTTGAGTAAAAAAATTGATAACATACAAATTGGGAGAAATTTGTCCGATCGTTGTGCTAAATTTATTCAACGGTTTAAGTAAAATTTTGCTCAATTGTTCTTCTCTTTTTAGTCAACCGTGGGGGACATCCATAAAATATCTGACGCAATAATCGCAAATTTCTAGACCCCTTCCTCCCTTTACCTCGAGCACATAGGCACGATATCATTAAAGACTTGAACCCCCCCCTCCCCCCGCTCGCGTGAATATAATTTGTGGATTGTTCCTTGGCGAAATTTACGACAACTTTTATTTAGCTTGCCTTATTTCTTGTTAATTGCATAATAAATGAATCAAGAAGAATTTTGTGGTGTGGATGTAGCAGTATTTTAGTGTGATCTCAGGCTGGTACACTCTTAGAAAGCTGGTATTAAATTATTTCTCTCCGAGGTATGTACAAGCATAACTCTACCCGCACTCATAACAACAGGCATTACCGTGTCGTAATAAAAAATTACCACTCAGAAACAAACTACTACCAATCCAGTAGGAAGTTATTACCAAATCAATAATAGTACGAAGTATTCTGCTTTTTAAGAGTGCATTATCCTACCCTGATTGATCACAGTCATTACATAACTGTCTGTCTGTCTGCTCGTTAAGCCAAATGTACTTGAGTGGTCTGCATTTTTTTGGAATTTTATCTACAAAGGAGCCCGAAATCCGGGTGCAGTTGCACATTTGAACGTGCACCATGATCTAGCAAAGAACTTATTTATTGACCTATCATAGTCGTGCACTCTTTTAAACATCTTAGGCTTTCAAATCGACACAATTTTGTGAGTAAAGGGGAAAAGTAGTTTAGAATCAATTATTGGATAAGGTAAGTTATAAATTTTGCCTTGAAGTTAAAGATATAAATCTCAATAAAAAAAGGGTAAAAAAGCGGCACAAATCATGTTATTTTTATTATTTACTTACAAAAAAGTTTTGGTTAATAATTAGTTTGAAATAAATTTGTGTAGCACCCGAGTCTGGTTTCAGTAATGAAATGAAATTTTATAATTTTTGACAAAATTTAATTTGTCACGAGTTAAGGAATAATCTAAATTTTTTAAGCTTAAATACATAATTTGACAACGAAAAATAGCAAAAATAATATGTAAGATTTTATAAAATTTCTAAAATATTTGAATTATTTAACCACTACCAGCAATGATTTATTTCAAATAAAGTACACAAAACATATGTATTTCAACGTTTTAATTAAATAGTGCTGCTAAAAATCCATGAGAAAATATGTCTAAAATTAATTTAAAATCGTTTCTGTCCAGTGTTTTTTTACAATAAGAGAACCCATTTACGAAAAATCACTTAAATATGTATTCAATAGTTTTGAAAAAGCGCTAGAGTATTTGCGAAGTGTGTATGAAAAAAAATATTCATACGAATTTTACAAAATTTGTATTTTTACAATCTATTTACATATTTATTGCTCTAGGGTTTTTGAGGTCCAATATCTTTTAGCAATATAATAACCTCCCACATCGTTGAAATATGTGTATCTATATTATAAGATGGAAATGTCTCTTGGCAACGGAGGTGAAAGTAATTTTCTGTTGCGGAAGTGAAAGTGGAGAAAGTCAAGTTTCAAATGGCGCGAAAATTCAAATTAAATTCTTTATTTAGAAACATAAATTACCTAGATAACCAGTCTGACAACCACCCCCAGATAATCACTGTCTGACAACCACCTCCAGATAACCACTGTCTGACAACCACCCCCAGATAACCACTGTCTGACAACCACCTCCAGATAACCACTGTCTGACAACCACCCCCAGATAATCACTGTCTGACAACCACCTCCAGATAACCACTGTCTGACAACCACCTCCAGATAACCACTGTCTGACAACCACCTCCAGATAACCACTGTCTGACAACCACCTCCAGATAACCACCGTTTGACAACCACCCCCAGATAACCACAGTCTGACAACCACCCCAGATAACCACTGTCTGACAACCACCCCCAGATAACCACCGTTTGACAACCACCCCCAGATAACCACCGTTTGACAACCACCCCCAGATAACCACCGTTTGACAACCACCCCCAGATAACCACACAACCACCCCCAGATAACCACCGTTTGACAACCACCCCCAGATAACCACCGTTTGACAACCACCCCCAGATAACCACCGTTTGACAACCACCCCCAGATAACCACACAACCACCCCCAGATAACCACCGTTTGACGACAACCCCCAGATAACCACACAACCACCCCCAGATAACCACCGTTTGACAACCACCCCAGATAACCACACAACCACCCCCAGATAACCACCGTTTGACAACCACCCCCAGATAACCACACAACCACCCCCAGATAACCACCGTTTGACAACCACCCCCAGATAACCACACAACCACCCCCAGATAACCACCGTTTGACAACCACCCCCAGATAACCACACAACCACCCCCAGATAACCACCGTTTGACAACCACCCCCAGATAACCACACAACCACCCCCAGATAACCACCGTTTGACAACCACCCCCAGATAATCACTGTCTGACAACCACCTCCAGATAACCACTGTCTGACAACCACCCCCAGATAACCACTGTCTGACAACCACCTCCAGATAACCACTGTCTGACAACCACCCCCAGATAATCACTGTCTGACAACCACCTCCAGATAACCACTGTCTGACAACCACCTCCAGATAACCACTGTCTGACAACCACCTCCAGATAACCACTGTCTGACAACCACCTCCAGATAACCACCGTTTGACAACCACCCCCAGATAACCACAGTCTGACAACCACCTCCAGATGACCACTGTCTGACAACCACCCCAGATAACCACTGTCTGACAACCACCCCCAGATAACCACCGTTTGACAACCACCCCCAGATAACCACCGTTTGACAACCACCCCAGATAACCACCGTTTGACAACCACCCCCAGATAACCACACAACCACCCCCAGATAACCACCGTTTGACGACAACCCCCAGATAACCACACAACCACCCCCAGATAACCACCGTTTGACAACCACCCCCAGATAACCACACAACCACCCCCAGATAACCACCGTTTGACAACCACCCCCAGATAACCACACAACCACCCCCAGATAACCACCGTTTGACAACCACCCCCAGATAACCACACAACCACCCCCAGATAACCACCGTTTGACAACCACCCCCAGATAACCACCGTTTGACAACCACCCCCAGATAACCACTACAAAAGTGTGAAGTGATCACCTGTGATCACTTCACACTTTTTGACGGTGGTGACGAGACAAAAGTGTGAAGTGAGCACATGTGCACACTTTACCACTGAATTTTCTGGGGGTGGTTATCGTGAGGGGTTATCTGTGGGTAGTTATCTAGGGGAGTTATCTGGGGGTGGTTATCATGGGGGGTTGTCATGGGTGGTCATCTGGGGGTGGTTATCATGGGGGGTTATCTGGGGGTGGTTATCATGAGGGGTTGTCATGGGTGGTCATCTGGGGGTGGTTATCATGGGGGTTGTCATGGGTGGTTATCTGGGGGTAGTTATCGTGGGGGTTATCTGGGGGTGGTTATCATGGGGGTTGTCATGGGTGGTTATCTGGGGGTAGTTATCGTGGGGGTGGTTATCATGGGGGGTTGTCATGGGTGGTTATCTGGGGGTAGTTATCGTGGGGGTTATCTGGGGGTGATTATCATGGCCACTTTAGTTTGAAGTTAAATAGAATTGGAAGTCTGTCATGGGTATCCAGGATCCGCCACTTTAGTTTAAAGTAAAGTCAAAGTGAAATTGAAGTCAAGGCTACAACCAGCCCAAGAAAACTACCATTAGACGTTTAATACGTGCCAGTCTAAACTCTATGACTTTCTTTGCTTTCGCTTCGGCTTCTGACAAACTTTTGCATCTGATAATTCTCGCTCGCACGGCGGGAGACGGGCTTATACGCTAGTATATTTAAATAAGAAATACACAAAAGACAAAAATATGCAAACAACCGATCACTGGTTATCATTTCACAGAAAAATCAAAACTGCTTCATCTCCAATTTGAATATGTCCCTTAATTTTTTTCAGATGGCACACAACCGTCGCTTCACGAAGCCCGAGGTGGAAGCCGCTTTCAAGAAAATGCCGACTTTTAGCGACGCCACGATCGACGTGGCTGACATTGACGTCTTCATGGCTACTTTAGGCTACTCCGCCACCCAGGAACAGAGGGACGGGTACATCACCTTTTTTAACGACGCGTACAACGGAAAACTTATTTTGGACGTTTTAATCCGAATATTGGGCTCGATTGATGACACGCAAGAACAGATGAAAATCCACGTGACCGCCCTGGACAAGAACGGTGACGGATTTATTGACGAGTTCGAGTTCATTACGATTGTCCAAGTATTGCTAATTCACGATCCAACCTTTCCGAAAGTTGACTTCACTAAATTTGTTACGGAAGCGGATACAAATCAGGATGGAAAAGTCAGCATTGACGAGGCTGTAGAGTGGTTTTGTAAAAATGCTAAAAATTAAGACAAAAACTTGCGAAAACCCAAATTACTAGTGTAAAATTCTCCGCATTTCAAAACAAACTTGAATTTTCAATTTTGTTTTCGAAATATATATATTTCGTTAGTTACATACATACGTATCTAGTATTTACATACATATGTATCTAGTATTTATCTATCTAACTAATACAGAAAGGTGCATACTTACATATGTACTTACACTGCAAATAAAGTTGTGCAAAATGTAGTTAAGATTGAATAAAATGTAGGATTACAAAATAATTTGGGCAAGTTCGTGTGTGTAAATTTCTGCACAAAATTGCATAAATCCCACTAGACTGTTTACATATGTAACTATCGTGAGGAATTTTATGGATGCAGCTCTGTTCTTTTGGTGAGATTCCAAACTGGTTTTATCTAAAATATACTGATTGCATTGTAAATACTCATTACATATGTAACTGTCTGTCTGTCTGCTCATTAAGCCAAACGAATTGGGTTGATTTGCATTTTATTTATGTACTTAGCAACCAGAAATCTGGGTGCAGTTGCACATTTGATCTTGAACCATGGTCTAGCTAACAATCCATTTATTGGGCAAACTGTTGAATTTCATCTTTGTACACTTTACACAAAGAAAACCAATATCTAATCAATTGGATAATGTAAGTAATTAGGTCAATTTTTGCGTCGGTTTCAAAAATGCGTGTGAATATAAATTTAAAAAAGAACAGGTTAATCTTATTAATAAAAAAGTAGAAAATAAAAAAAAAATCAAAAACTGCTTTTAAAATTTTGCAAAATTTCCAAATTATTTTATCAAACCCAAACCGATAGTAATTTATGCAGGATTTAGTTTTTTAAGTAAAAAACAGAGCTTAATTCATTAATCAAAAATCATTCTGAAAAATCAATAATGTAAAATATCGCAACAACTAATCTACACATGTACATATGCTTCATTTTTTTAAAATTTATGTATGTCACTCATTAGAAAAAATTGTCAACCATTTAAATTATTTGCTTTAATTATACATTTCGAAACAAAAATGTAAAATCGCTTCATCCCTAATTTTTTTCAGATGGCGCATAACCGTCGCTTTGAAAAAGTCGAGGTGGAAGCCGCTTTCAAGAAAATGCCGACTTTTAGCGACGCCACGATCGACGTGGCTGATCTGGACGCCTTTATGGAAACGGTAGGATACTCCGCCTCCAAGGAACAGAGGGACGCGTACGTCACCCTTTTTCGCGAAGGGTACAACGGAAAACTTATTTTGGACCTTTTAGTCAGTTTGCTGGGCTCAATTGATGACCCGAAGGTACTCTTAAAAATCCACGTGACTGCCCTGGACAAGGATAAAGACGGGTTTATTGACGAGTCCGAGTTCAAGACGATTGTGAAAGCGTTGCTCGTTCACGATCCATCCGTGCCAAAAGTGGACTTTACCAAATTTGTTACGGAAGCGGATACAAATAAGGATGGAAAAGTCAGCATTGACGAAGCGGTGGAGTGGTTTTGCAAAAGTTCGAAAAATTGAAGAAATCAAATTACTTTCATTATTTCATCTAGATAGAGGTGTAAAATATTTGGGGTATGCAACCGAATTCTGTCTCAGCATCATAATTATGAAAAATTAAGAACAAATTTTAAATTACTGTTTTCAAATTTTCAGAAGTTCATAAATATGTATGTATGTCCATAAAATAATATGTAAAATTTATGTAAAATTTTGAGTATATAAAATTCTGAGTATGTACTTGAAAGAATTTTTTCAGCAACGTTAATTCATCAATCCAACCTTCATGTATGGGCGTACTCACCTCAAAACTTGTATTTGTGCTTAATTAAAGAATTACCTTCTTAACGAAATACATAATTTCCTGGGTGTATCTATTTGAGAATACAACTCACTAAAAAAATGAAATAAGTCCAATTGTGTAAAAGTAATTTCTTTCATATTTAGATACATGCATGTGCATATTTAATTCACACATGCATGTACCGTGCATGTCGCATGTGACGGATTTTCAGACATTGTTTGCTGCATGGACAACGACACACGTTAAAAGTAGCGTGGCATGGAAATGTTTCTTTTAGCCTCAATTTTTTTTATATATTTTTAATCACATTTGATCACATCCTTAACGCATGTATGGTCACACATGGCTAATTTATCTGGCTTATCATGTCTCACAAAAGATACACACATCCATAAATTTGTCATGTGGAAGCATTTTTCTCAGTACAGCAGCCGGCTTGGGAGGTTAGTGTGGAGTGTAAAAGCAACGAGAAAACCATGCAGCGGCGGGGCCAGCAGTGGGCACACGTGGGCCCGTGCCCACGTGTAATTTTGTGCCCCTCTACACTAGATATTATTGAATTTTTTTCAAATGATAAACATTTTTTTAGCACTTTGAAAAATTTCAAAAACAAAAGAAAAATTTCTAACAAAAAAAATACTAAGCATGATCTTACCCCATCCATGAAAGTAAAAATTCGAAATATCGGTCATTTCTCACCTGACTTGGATAAAATTTTGCTTAGAGTTCTCTGTTCAAGAATATGAAACCGATTTCTGCTCCGAGGAGGAGAATTCCTTGATTTTTACTCTAGGTTTTGGCAACAAGAAACTATTGTAATTATGGTCAAGTTGCTATGCATGGTATAATTTGAAGCCTCACATGTTTCCAAATTATTGGAACAAATTGCATAAATTATTCTGAACATCGTAGGACAAACATAACATACTTACAAGGGAACATACCGAGGTGTCCAACGAGTTAAGGGTCGACACCTGTACCAAAATGACCCTCAATACATGACTTATTAAACAAACTGAAGGAATTTCCGTGTAAAATTAACTTTTCGTCAAGTTTTGACGATATTTGTGACGAGTGCATGACCATCGGGTTGCCAGAGAGGAAGAGGTCGGCCGCTGAATGATCAGGTCGACCACAGAGAAGCGTCGTCTTCACGTCGTCCTCAGAGATTTCGAATAATAATAATAATAATAATAATAGCCTTTATTACCCTCATTTACTAGTATTAGGGAATGCACAAAATGAAATTTTAGCATAGCACACTAGCCTATTTTCGTGAGCTTACAAACAGAAATAACTTACTTTAAATGATTAAATAACAATAACTAAGGGCTAAATTACTATATTTAACTTAACAATATATATGTACGTAAGATATTATCTACTCTTAGTTTGTATAAAGTTAGCTATAATCTATCAAATTTTTTAGAGCTTCAAATGACAAGCCAAAAACCGTGGATTTTGATTTCCATTCGTCATTAATTTTGCTGATTATCATATTAATGGGGGAATTTTTAAATTTTGACGACTTAATTACCGGTTGAAATAGTAAATCCTTGTTTGACCTCAATGACACACCACTGCACGAAGCACGCTGGAATTGCGGCAAAAAGTGCCTATACCTACCAAAGAATAACTTGTAAGCAAATTTATTAAGAGCCAATTCTCTCCTTTCATTTAAAGTTATCAACTCAGCTTCCTGCATGCATTCAAGATAATTTAAATGATCAACTCGTTTTCGGAAAATTATACTTAAAGCTTTTTTCTGAACACTTTCAATTTTGTCAACTAATTTCTGGTTCAAGCCAGAGCCAAACACAACTGAACAATACTCAAGATTACACCGAATATATGCACCGTAAGCTATTAATAATTCTTTACTGGAGAAGCCAGCATTGAATAATTTTCTTAACTGAAATAATTTAGAGTTTGCTTTCGCAACAATGTTTTTTATATGACTATCCCAACTAAAATTTGGGCAAAAAGTCACCCCTAAAATTTTTAAGCTCTTTACAACGGGTATAGGAACTGAATCAATACAAAAGGACTTAGTAGGAAAATTAACTCTTCTTCCACCAAAATTAACTACCAATATTTCACATTTACGAGGATTGGGCGTTATTTTAACTGCCTTACACTCTTCACTCAAAATATTGAGTGCAGATTGCAATTTGGGTGCATTACCAATAACTCTTTCAGCAATAACCAAATCATCAATGTATCCAGCTATACAAAAATTGGGGTTAATATCAAGTAATTTGATTTTTAATGCATTCAGAATCGGATTAATTAAGATAATAAACAGAAGAGCAGCTAGTTTGGTACCGGCTGGTGTACCGCATGTTAATCTCTTGGGATTTGAAAACGACTTTTCAAACTTAACAATCTGCTTACGAAATTTTAAGAAGGATAATAACCATAAAATATCAATGTCGTGTACACCAAGATCAACAAGAAGTGCGGCCAACAACGAGTGGTCAACTAAATCGAATGCTTTGAGACTATCAATAGCAGCAATTAAAACTGTAGCGCCAGGAATTTCGATTGATTTTAAAATAAAATGGTTAATTTGAATTAAATAATGCGCAGTAGACGATTTTTTTAAAGCACCAAATTGGTTAACGTTGATTTTATCAATTATTTGAGAATAAATCCTGTCAAACATAAAACTCTCTGCAATTTTTGAAAATACGTCAGTTTGAGTTATCGCACGGACGTCATCAAGTGATGAACAAGTTACTTTCTTGAGTAAGGGGGTGACGAAACCGATTTTCCAACAATCAGGGACAGTAAAAGTTGCAAAAGATTCATTGAGGATAATGGCTATTAAAGGGCCCAAGAAATTCGAAGCGTACTTTATAAGCTCAGTAGGGACTAAATTCGGACAGTTGGACTTTTTCTTATTTAGTTTTCTAATTACTCTCGCTACCTCATGAGCACTGACTTTAATAGGGGAAGAGTCTAGAGGGAGTGGACACAGCGAAATAGATTCACATTCATCAAAAGTGTTACAAATTAGTGAGAAATGTGAATTTACAACATCGGCTAGCTCTTTATCAGTTAGCTGACTAAATTTCAGATCTATTAATTTAATTTTGTCGATGGCAGACACGGGATTTAGACCACAAACTTTACGGATTAAATGATACCATTCGGATGAATTCATACCAGGTATCTTATCTTTGAATTTTTTACGCACTTCAGACTGAGCAAAGGAAATTTGCGTTTTAATTTCGCTTTGTAACTCCAAAACTAGCTTGACATTATTACTTTTTTTTGCTTTGCGCTTAGCTTTGAATAACCTTTTCAATGTAATATTCATCCAAATGGGTTCACCATCGTTTATAACCTTGTCATAAGGACACGATACTTTAGTTTGTATTGAGAGTAATAAAGAATTTAACTCATTGACTTTGGTATTGTTTGGTAACGATTCAAATTTTTGGATATCAATATCTAAATTATTTAATTCTTCGACAAAGGGAATAGCTAATTGATTAAGTTGGGGTTTACATTTAATGATTTTTAAAGGCTTATGTAATTCAAACCATAGACAAGGTGAAAAGGACATACAAGCATGTACTCTATTTCTTGCCGTTCCTTTAACAGGGGCAGTGGAACAGGCTCGCAATAATATGATTTTAAATTAGTAAAAATTAAGTCAAGGTTACTCATACTATGTGATCTAGAATTAAAAAAACGTAGGGAAATGTACTACTAAATCTAATTTAGAAGTTTCGACAAATTGGCCATAATCCCACCGGTTAAAATCGCCAAACAAAAATATACCAGGCTTAAAAAATTTGGTTTTTACATTGGTTACCACATTACTTAAAAACTCGTTAAGCTCTTGACTTAGTTCAGTTACATATTGGGGCGGAATATAAATTAATATAATAATTATATTTGAAAGTGAGTAGGGCAACAAATCAGGTTTAACAGATATTACAAGAAACTCAATACGTTCGTCGACTTTGACATTAGGATTATATATTCTACCTCTAAATGTGTCCCTGAGAAAGATAGCTAATCCACCACCCATTTTTATACGCCCCTTACTATCAGTATAATTTCTGTTCCTAGCGAAAGTATTAAAATGCGGGATATTTTTAACCTGGTCATTTTTCCACCATGTCTCACAGAAAAGCCCTAAATCATGGTCAACCAATAAACCTTCAAAAATGTCCAATTTTGCTTCGGATAGAGACGTTGGGTTTGTGTAAAAAAATCTGGGTAAATTAAATTTGAGAGGGGACGATTTTTTACACTCCGATATTCCAATATTAATTAAATTATTCAAAACTAGACCACGAGGGATGTTATTTAAATATTTAGTAAAAGATTTCTTCGCTTCAAACCGTCTTCCTCGTTTAGCGCCTTTCTTTTTCTTCTTCTTTTTTGAACGATAAGTGGAGGTGGAGTAATAATAATTGAAGTCCTCAATTTGGTTCCATAATGATGACGAAATCCCAGAAGAATGATTTTCCAGCTGCCTGAATAAGTTAATCCTTTGTGAGATATCATTGAACTTATGACACGCAATTTTCTCTTTGTACAAGTTGTAAAAATCAGGGGGAGGAGACTTGCCAATAAAGGGGCAGTTAGCTCGCCAAACTGCCCCTCCGTTCATTTATAATGATATGAGAACAGGAACAGGAAACAGGAACAAGAAATCCAGCCAGATAAACCCATGTCGTTGGCGGAATCAGCAATTAATTAGTAGTGTAATGTATAGAGCACTTTATACTATTAAATTAAAACAACCTTTGATGGAAAATTCGCTCAATGAATTAATTTAAATGGTAGAAAACTTAAAATTATATAAAATATGAGGAGAGCAGGTTTTTCTCCCATGCTGCCAACACGGGCGCGCGGGAGAAATTGAATTCTTTCAAATTTTGAAACCATTTTGAAATTTTGAGGAAATTTTGAAATTTTGAAGAAATTTTGAAATTTTGAAGAAATTCCTTCAGATTGTTTAATAAGTCATGCATTGTAGTCATTTTGGTACAGGTGTTGACCATTAACTCGTTGGACACCTTGGTATGTTCCCTTGTTAGATGTGTAAAGAATTCAGAAAGCTATTAAATTTTAAAACTAATGGCTG